TACCGTAATGTAAAGATCAACCGAAAAGTCTTAGGCATTTAATATGAATCAGTCTTTAATTTGTGATATGCTGTTCCTGAATATTTTTTAATTTATGTGTAATTTATTTGAGCTATGAGAATCTGAATGATATGTTTTCAATAATAAAGATCTCAGTAGCAGTGCTTCATTGGAGTTATGAATGAAACTCTGTAGTTTAGTAAACTTTTTTCACAGTCATCTGGCCCACCAGCAGCTGAGACTGAACATTTGTAGTTCGACCAGGTTCAGATACTGGTGAATGGCCTGGCTGCCTGGGAGTTTTGTGTTTTACTTTATGATTAATGTTTATACGAGCAAATATCTGTAAAATGGCCTCCATGAAGGCATCCTTTGTTCTCTTTGCACATCTTCTGTAGTGCTCTTGCTTCTCATTATCCGTAATCTTGTGTTTCAGAAGGTTTGTTATTTTGTCCAAGGATCTGCTTTATTTTTTCCCTTGGCAGATAATCTTTTGCAATAATCCCTAAAAAAAAAAAAAAAAAAAAAAAAGTCTCCTAAAAAAAAGTTCATCAAAGTAATATTTATATTTAAAAAAAGCATAATTATGAAAAATATAATCCTGGCAGAGCCACACTATGATTGTCTGGTTCTTTACTGCAATTTGGGCCTATGAGGTCTTCAGCGTAAATTATAAATACTTGTCTGCAATAAATAATAGTTTGAAATAGTGACATTTTGAAACAGAAATCAGCCATGATGTGTTTCTTTATAAATTTGTAATTTAATTCTATAATTCACATTAAGTGTGCAATAATTTAATTGATTTCAGTTTGTCCAACGTGTTAATCATCCGAGTAATAAATAAAATACCTAAAAGAAGAATCTGAAAACATTCAGATTTTACATTAAGCCCAAAGGGGTGCTTTTTTTTTTTAATGTTTTGTGTGCTATCTTTATTTATTAAATATCATGTTCTTCACACTTTAACTATAAAATTCAATTCAACAGCAACATCACAAAATAATTTTAAAATGAGCGTATCTTTAGAACTTCCGATACGCAGTCTCGTGCTCTGGAGATAAAAATTTTCTGCCCCCCGTACAGTGTTGCCATTGCTTGCTTTGAAATCATTGAGTTTGTTAAAGTGTTACAAAATATTAAATCAATAATAAGACAAATTTCAAATTAGGACTTTCAGATGCCCATATTCGATGAAGTAGTACATTATTCAAAATTTGATGACTCTAGGTACTGTTGTTTTTTAGAATACAAGAAACATGCATACATTTATGCAGATTCTTCATTATTTAATTTCTTTAAATATAGTGCAGAGCTCTGACATTTGATGGCAACAATTTGAAATGTGATACATTGTTTATAGTGATTCAACACAAAATGTCAAAATGAAATTAGTAGCCCTTCTGGCTAATTCCCTTTGTTCTAATAATTTCATTTCTTGAAATTACTGTAATTTTTATGTTGTTTTTAGAGTAGCTAATGGTTATCAGGACAGTACAATAGCCAAATGGGAAGATCATTTTAAAAAAATGCATTAAATTCTTTCACCATCTCTCATGTTTTATTTTATTTCAGGCAAATTCTCTTTGCGTATCTCCTGTAGTGCTCTTGCTTCTCATTATTTGTAATCTTGTGTTTCGGAAGGTTTGTTATTTTGTCCAAGGATTTGCTTTATTTTTTTCTAGTCCTTGAATGGCTGGCTTTGTCACTAAAGGAAACGTCTTTTAGGAAAGAAGGCAGAGATCATACTGGGAGTGTTAAAAAAGTGAAATGTTACGAGATATGGTATACTCGTGTATTGATGGACAAGGTGAAACTTGTCGCTCATATTTGGTGAGCAGATCTTTTGCAACTTCTCGATGCCTGTTTCTAAACATTAAGCATTCCTGAGCAAGTCGGGATGGAGGGTGTGCACTTTTCTGCATAATTCACTTTTTTGTTTTTGTCCTCTCCAGTTTAACTATTTGTAATAATTACTGCACCCCCATTGTTCTCGGCAGACAATTTATGTTTTGTTATGATTACATGGTAATCTTAGACAGGAACCATTTATTACATTTATGATTGTGTCAAAATTTTTGAGTTCTTGGAAGGATAGACTTTTTTATTGGATTTACCATAATTCTACCCCTGGTTCAAAGTCTTTAAACTTATTTCAGATTATTTAAGACAGATCTTGCTCCTTTACCTTCCAGTCTTTGCTTCAGTAAAGTCTCGTTAAGCAATAAGGAACCTCTTGAACATAAACACACAAGAAACCAGAAGGAAATGCTTAGTTTCTATATGAAAAAAGAAACTTTAGTTGTATTTTACTGTTGTTTCAAATGTGTATGTTATATAATCAAACTTTCCCGAATATTGCGAAAGAAATAAAAATTCATGATTAGCCTATATTTTAAGGTGCCCCTTGGATTATCGTCAAGTTGTTGTTTCATTTATGGTAACCTGAGTGTTGAATGTTATGCAAATCATATTATGATGTGATTGGTTGTGTGATTATGGTGAATTTAACTGATGAGAAAATATTTGTAATGGCTTATTTATGTGTTGGATTTTGGTTAGAAAGTACGCTGCTTATTTTGTGCTTTATGCGGTAAAATGGCTGTATGTGATAAGATTAATTTGAAGTTTCTGTAGGATTTGGAACGAAAGGGGAAAAAAAAAAAAACATTGACTGCTGTGTAAATGAAGGTTTGCTTAGTAGCCATTTTAAGTGTCTTGTTTGTAATGAAGGAAACACATATGATCAAATGCAAAGATAATACAGATACTGACTAAAGACACAGAAATTTCGAAATAAGGTAAGTTCATATTTCCTTTGTGTAGTGCGTAGATGCGATAAGATATATTTCCTTTTTTTGTGTTCTTTGATTGTTTGATTTAAAATCACCAATCACATCATATTATGATTTCCATAACATTCAACACTCAGGTTACCATAAATGAAACAACAACTTGACGATAATCCAAGGGGCACCTTAAAATATAGGCTAACCATGAATTTTTATTTCTTTCACAATATTCAGGAAAGTTTGATTATATAACATACACATTTGAAAAAACAGTAAAATACAACTAAAGTTTCTTTTTTTCAGATAGAAACTAAGCATTTTCTTCTGGTTTCTTGTGTGTTTATGTTCAACAGGTTCTTTCATTGTTTGATTTAAAATGCAGTTTATTAAATTGAAATTATATATTTTTTGTTTGATTCTAGTGTAGAATTGGGTGCTCTTTCAATTTTTAAGGGAAAATAGATCAATGTGCACATGAACAAAAACAAGTCAATGTTCAATGCTAAGTTTATGCAATTCTCTGATGTTTTTTAAAGTGAAAATAGATCAATGTGTACATGGACACCGAGTTTGTGCAATTACTTGTTATTTTGGTTTTGTAGCGGTCATCTTCAAATTGTGCCTTGCTCTCACCGATCTTATCATAAAAAGAAAAAAAAAGAAAAAAAAGAAAGAAAGAAAAAACAAGGGGTATCCAATTGTAAACTTTTACTTTTTGTTTTAATTATGTTTTGGATGCCATTTTACTGGGGAGGGCGTTGGATGTAAACAGGAATGGCTCCAAAAATCGCGAATTTTCGCCAAGGGGCACCCTGGAATATATTTTTACCAAATTCTTACTTATATTTATGTGTAAAATTAATTAAATAAAAAATAGGAAAATCTCATCAATTTACTTTGTTTTATTTTATGAAAGTATGTTTCATTATTCTTAAAATAATGTAATTACAGAATTGTGGCTCTTGAAAAGTCTAGTTGCAGCTCACAAAATTTCCTGAATTTTAGCATGTGGTTCTTGCTGTCATGAAGAATAAAATTTTATAGAATATAAATTTATATTTATGTATTGCTAAGTATTAACTCTCATATTTAAAATATTTACTCATATTTAAAGTACTCATTTTAGAAATCATGGCGGGATTTACAGATTCTGCTTTGGAGAAGAAATTATCTGAATTAAATAATTCCCAACAAAGTATACAGACTTTATCATTATGGTTAATTCATCATAGGAAACATCACAAAACAATAGTCCAAGTTTGGTTTAAAGAACTTAAAAAAGGTAACTTTTCTGAATTTTCATTATATGATAAAATGCTGTATTATTGAAATTAATATTTTTGAATCATTTGTTATTTATTACAAATGTTAAGTAAATGCATATGTAATGCATTTATTTCAAAATTCCATGTGAATTTTAATTGAATATTGCAAGGAACTAATGTATTCGGAACTACTCTTATCTACGCCTTTGCCTGGTGACAAATCTCTCGCTCGCCAAATATTTTTGGCGAGAAACTCCACATTGCCATATTACTATCTAAATTTTTTGTCTACATTTCAAACTTTAAGCCAAAAATGTCTCCAAAAACACTGTTTTTGCATTTTGAATACACAATTTAAGCTAAAAATACAAAACAAAACAAAAAAATTTAGATAGCCAAAAACTTTTAATTTCTAAACAAAAATATTTAGCAAGAAAGCATGTACAGAGAGATCTGTTTTAACTTTATAAAAAATCACAGAATTGCACAATCTGTGCAGCAAAGGAATCTACAAACTACGCACACATCGCTTAAATAAGTTAACATAACAACAATAAATTTCAAACAATACCATGTACACAGCATTCTGTTTAAATTTAAAAAAATATATGAAAATTTCACAATCTAGGCATTGTGCACTAATCAACAAATTAAACTAAACTAAAATAAAATACAAACAATTCAGAAAATAACAATAACAACAGAATTCATACTAAGAAAACAATGAACATAAAATTCTACAAAATAAGAACAACAATAAAATAAAATGCACTTACTCTGAATGAATGCTTCTTCGAACAGCAGAAATATCAATTTCAAACATCACCAAAACAATTTCGCCACAAATTTGTTGAAAGGATCTTCTCCCATTTCAGAACAGTGATGGGAAAACATATAAACCACACCAAATAAAACTCGAAATTTCGATTTTAAGTAGGCAACGTAACTTTAAAATGGCGACCTGAGGGCATATATAAGAGGAGTACCTTGTATTCTTATTTTATTAACAGTTGCAATTTCCCCCCCCTTGTTTTTGTTTACTCTTGAATTGGTTTGTGCTTTTTAATTCTGTTTTTCTTTGCCAGACTGCCTTTCAAAAAAAAAGCCAAACTTGACATTTAATAGACATAAAAATCAATTTTATAGATTTAAAAACTGGCCAAAAGAGGAGAAGGAAAGGCTCTACTCTTATATTCACCAAATCACTAATTCACCTATTCACCCTAAGATCACCAAATGTGGCGATATATGTTCTGCGCTGGATTTAGGCACGATTGTGGTGGTTTTGGGGACGATGTTGTTTCTATGGCAACCCTTTTGACGTTAAAACTTATCTCTTTTGCTGCAGTGGTTTAATTGCTCATTGGTTCGTGTTGTGCATGTTTTGAAATGGCCTATGTTGCAATGATAGACGTGGTGGCAAGATTTCAGTCGCATATTTTAGATTATGTGGAAAGTAAATTTAGTATTAAAATGTACGATGTTGAAGTTGTTAACAAGTCTTTTGTTCATGGGTGTGTTTATGAGGATCAAAGTGTATTTTTGAAATTTCTGTGGGACTTGTAAAAGAGTCCAAAGTGCGGAGCTGCTATGAGAACTCAGGCGAAGAAGGGCATTTCTGATATTTCTTGTATGGATTTGCAGTTAAATGCTTGCTGGTAGAGTATGTGACTGTCAGCGGAGTTTAATATTTGGATTGTGGTTTTCGTGTAAAAAGTTAACTTTGAAGGAAGTTTTCATTGTTACTTTCGAAATTTTGAAACGCGGAAAGACGTGATATAGCAAAATCGTAGCACTTTTGTTCAGAGACGTTGTGTGACTGGCGAAATTTTATTAACAAATGTATTATAGTAAGTGCATTTTATTTTACTGTTTTTATTTTGTAGAATGTTATGTTTGTTATTTTTTTACTATGAATTTCTGTTGTTATTGTTGTTTTTTGAGATGCTTTTTTTAAGTTTAAACAGGATGCTGTGTACATGATATTCTTTGAAATTTATTGTTGTTATGTTAATTTATTAAGGCGAGCTGTGCGTAGTACATAGATTCATTCATGCCTAGATTGTGCAATTCGTAGATTTTTTTTTTTTTTTTTTTAAAAAAAGCTAAAACATATCACTGCGTGCATGGATTCTTGTCAAATATTTTTGGTTAAAAACTTTACGTTTTTGCTATGTAAATTTTTTCTTTTTGTTTTGAATTTTTAGCTTAAATTGTGTGTTCAAAACCTTTTTTTTTTTTTTTTTTTTTTTTCCCCTCCCATGTGCGAAAACCGCGTTTTTGGAGACATTTTAGGCTTAAAGTTCGAAAACATAGACAAAAAATTTAGATAGTAATATGGCACCGTGGATGGCGAGAAATTGTCACCAAGCGAAGAGCATATATAAGAGTAGTTCCGAAGGAAAATTTTATTTCTGCTCTAATGAGTTTTATTTAATAATGATTTTCTTCAAATTAACTAAGAAGTGTAATACAGTCAAAAGTCGTTAATTCAGACCCCTAATCGGAATGGGCCCTATAATCCGACCTCAAAAGCTACAAACTTTTCGCATGCGTTCGCGTTGACGCATGCACTAAGACCTCTACGGCGGCGAATATGCGGTGTGCATGTGTTTTAGGTATAACAGACGATAAAGCTAAGCTAAAATTATCTAATTCAGTTAAGGTTGCAGATTGTTTGTTTTCCTGAATTTCGAAATTGGATCGGCTTATTATTTTTTGCAGACTGTTAGAGCATTTTATAAAAGTAGCTTGAACTTTCGATTATGTCAAATAGAATTTCCGACATATAGTTACTATATGTAAAGGATCTAAAAAGCGAAAGTATGTTTCGAAGTCCATTAAACAAAAAGTGGAATTGCTGCAAAAAATGGATAAAGGCATATCCTTCGTATCTCTAACCATTCCGAAATCTGTTTATCAATTTCATGCTGCGGCGCGCAATGAATTGGAAGTTGATCTGTCAGCATTATCCTTATCTTCATTTTATTTGGCTTATAATTCCTTATTAAATGTAGTATTTCATCTCGATGTACTCCGCCTTTGATATGATTTAAATCAAATTTCTCGTCATTATAATTCGCTTCTGATAGCGAAGAAAGTTACAGAGGTTATTGAAAACGAAAAAATTTCGATTGACAAATTAGTCGGTATTCTCGACACAGCAATTATAGGACTTGAACAGCGGAACTTTATAACTGAAGAAGAAATTATGTCTGTTTATCGATTATTAAAGAAGAAAGTATTATCACATAAAAAGAAGCAATTAAACAACTTACATTGAAAGAAATTTATAAAGTAAACAAATAAATATTAGCTTTTTTTTTTTTTTTTTTTTTTTTTTTTTTTTTTGTGGTGTTGTTGTGGTAAATTTTGATACCCTTTAGATCATAGTTGTTCTTTATTTCATAAAATTACGGTTTCATATTTTTAATTTTATAATTTCTGCATGCCATCTCACAGATTAAACTTGATCTAAATCAGGAAAATCAATATCTGGAATCGCAGAAGTCCCGACGAGTCCGGATTAACGACTTTTGACTGTATTATGTTACTAGCAGCTTCGCTGCCAGCCTTCATCTGGCTTTTAAATGTACCGGAAAATGGCTGAAGGGAACACCAAACGTTAAATTTAAAAACTGTATAGAATTTTACTCTGCACAAAAAATCATAAAAAAACGTTATTACGTATAACAAAATTACAATGAAATAAGCAATGTCCTTAATAATACATATATTAATTATCCTAATAAATAAATTAACCAACTTTCCCTATGCAAAATCTTAAAGAACTCAAATGGTATAAAAGGAGTTAAGAACTTTGTTTCCTAAAAAAAATCACTCAAGCTTTTCAATATCTTAAAAACAGTGAAATGAGCAATATAAATAACATAAAAGAATACAAAAAACAAAAAAAATTCTGAAAAGCAAAGTATAATTAATGATATTTAATCTTATATTTCTAAGAGAAAAAAAAAATACTATAATAAAAGCTCTATCCTTTAATACAATATTAATTATCCTAATAAAAAAAAATAACCAACTTCCCTTGAAGAAAAAATCATGCAAACTTTTCAATATCTTACAACAGTGAAATAAGCAAAAATAACATAAAAACTGAAAAAAAACCAACACATTTTACCAGAACAACTTATAAAAACATCAATAAAAATGTATTTTATATATAAAAAATGACAATGAAATATGACAAGCTCTTAAAACAGTGTATAAAATACGATGATGAAAAATTGTTGCCAAACCCATATTTCTAAAAGAATGAAACTATTCAAAAATGATGCGATTTCATCAAAAATCTATTAACAACAATAGGAAAGGAAAATTGTTGCCAAATCGCATTTTAAGATGTGAGATGTGAGAAGGGTACTCGGAAGCGTCATTTAAAAATTTTTTAAAAAATACAAATATTATCTTTTCCAAAATCTTTTTGTAAAAGCAGTTCGAATATGAAAGTTTAACGTGTCCAAAAGCAAGAAAAAAAACTGTACATTTTTAAACATAAACATTTTTAGAAAAAATCCCGTTGAAAATGTGTTAAGCTGTTAAATAAATTCGTATTGAATCCATTTATTGAAACACGAAATTTATTTTAAGTTCGTAAAATAGGTAACTGCCTACATTTCATGACGATGTGAAAATGGAGTGCGTAAAATCTCGCTTTCCTATAGCCCATTATGTCTCAAAATGATGTGATTTCGTAACAAAACCTAAAATTAAAAGAATTCTAATTCGAATTTCGAAAAAATCGCTTTGAGGTGCACTGGCTCTTGTCTAGATGCACCTATGTACCAAATTTCGTAGCCACGGGTCTATCTGCTTACGCACAGCGTAAACAAAAGAGACACACACAGACAGACTCTTTAATATATGTAGAGATTATTTTTAAGTGTAAAGTTTTCTTAAATTGCTGTTAAATAAAAAGTATAACGTAAGATTTCTAAATTGTGCTTCTCTTACATTTTCAGCAAAACCAAATAGGAAGTTGACTTTTATGTATTTAGCAAATGATGTAATCCAAAACAGTAAAAAAAAAGGGCCTGAATTTTCTAAAGAATTCAGCAATGTTTTGAGTAAAGCATTTGCTCATGTGTGTGAATGGTAAGTACCCTTTCATTCACATGCTCCTTTAAATAACCGGCTAATTTGCTTGCAAGTACAGTAAACTATTGTTGAACTTGAGGATTATGTCACTAACACATTCCACATAGAGCAAAATTTCATTCCACAAAATATATCATAGGTATAATTCAAATTGAGAAAGTGTATGTTAAACAAACCTGAATACTGTTGTAATTAAAAGGGGAAAATAAAACAAGTGATAATTGAAGGGAGCTGTACAACAGCTTAATGAGAACGTACATGATACATCCCCCCTTTAACTGGTAATTTTTGTTAGGACAGTGATTGATGCAACTCTTTAAAAGTATTACAGTAAGGAGCACAGAGTTTTTCAATGCCACTCATAAAATGTTCTCAACTTTCTTCATTTGGGTTAAACTCCAGTGTAATCAGACAGTTCCTGTGCCTTTTTAACAATTCATTTAACTTCTTGTAAGTTAAAGGCACATTATCTTCTTCACTATCAGTGTTTTAACTGTCATCTGTTATAAAATCATCCAGTTTGTTCATCATTTATCAATTTCTGCTTTGATTTTTTTCTGCTGTATCAACATTTTTCATTGTCAATTGCTTTTACAATTTTTACACTTTCTTTGGATCCAATCTGATCCAAACAAGTATGGCTGAAGTAGCGCGCGATGCGCACTGTTTCCAGCTCATGAGGAGAGCCAGTAGGCACATGACGGTAGGAAGCCTAGGAATTAGGCCAGACAAGAAGACGTGCTGCAGACGGAGCAGTACAAGGTAAAGCAATCATGAGTTTTTATGATAAGGTACTGTGAGAGTATACTACATGACAGAACGAGTTTGTAGGAATACAAACTCTCAAAAGCATACATTTGCAGATATAGAGTTACAGTGACAAAAATGCAGTTTGGTAGATCAGATATCATACAGAAATTTTGATGAAATAATGAGAAAAGTATTCATAAAATTTATATACAATATATACAGGAATATTCTACTTTATTTTACCATCTGTATCGGGTTTAGACCATATAATTTGGAATTTGAACTAAGTGATTCCTTTTGTGTCAGTTTAAAAAGATCCTTTTCAGTCTCACTTCGCTGTATAAATTGAATCCAATAGCGTTCAGCACTTGCGAGTTCTTCAGCAGTTAGTACTCCTTTATACTTTTCAGAATTTCTCTTATAGTTATTAATAAACCGTAGGACATATGCAGCAATTCGAAGAACCTTAGATAAGTCACTGTATCTGTGCAAATTTAACAAGCTATTGCTATTTTGAACGTGTGTTGGCCAAAGCAATACAGTTCTTTTTTCTCTCCTTTTCCGCTTCAAATGTATCAATATCAGCATTCGGTATTTCTTCACTGTTTAGAGCATCAACTTCTATTAGTCACAAGGGGCCTCTCTACCATGTTTCATCATTAATTAAAAATCATGCACTTACTCCCCTAGTAAGTTTATCTGCAGGATTCAGCTTTCTGTTGCAAAAATTCCAATTCGATGGATTTGTCTTTTCTTTGACTTCCAACACTCTCTTGTGGACAAATTGCTTCCAATTGTTCACAACACCTCTAATCCAAAGTAGTATTGTGGAATCTGTCCACATGAAAATATCACTTTCTTTCAAAGAAGGAAATGTAGATCGTATATAATTAGACAATCATGCGGAAATCAAGTTTCCTAGTAGTTATAATCACGGCAAAGTCATTTTCTTCAGTCAAGCTCGGTTACTTCATTCCACCGCTCCTGGAACATAGATTCCAATTCTGCTGGAATATTTTTATCCCATTTTAAGCCTTTTACCCAAAGATTGTGCACTATCAATTTAATTCTAACACTGAATAGTGTAATTAAACCTAATGGATCAAACAACATGCCACATGCACTTAGAACTGTACGTTTTCTTGGTGTCACATACTTAAATTTTGTAAATTGATTCAGATCTATCTTCTAGGTGTCCTTATCATAATCCCAAATTAATCCTAATACCTTTAACGGTATATCTGTTTGATTCGATGGCGTTCGACATTCCATTTGGCTTTCCTTTCATCTTTGATTAAGGATTGCTGAATTCGAAGACCATTGCCGTAAATTCACGTTTGCTTCACTCAGTATAAATTTAGAATCTTTTGCAAAAGATACCGCTTTTTCAACAGTTGATGCCCCACTTATTAAGTCATCAACATAAAGGTCTTTCAAAATAGAACATGCTTCATTGTGTGAATTTTCATATTTCTTTAAATGAAGTCATATAATTTCTGTCAAAATAAAAGGACTGTATTCACACCAAAAGGAACACGTGTCATTCGTGAAATTCTGATATCGCAGCCATTGAAATCAAGTTCAGTTCCCCCCTCATTTCTCCATAAAAACTGCAAAAAGTTTTCGATCTATGCCAATCTATAAAAATGATCTCTGAATATCAGCACAAAACGCAATTGAATGCTAACAAAATCTTAAAATAATCCTGAGCAAATCTGGATTAAGTTTGGGATCACTATCTAAACAATCATTCAGCGACTGTCCATCTCTTAACTTTCGAAAATGCATCATTCACAATCCTAACTTTCATACTTTCCTTTGATTCGCGTATTACAGCATGATGAGGCATAAAATATCCAATTTTTCTATCACAATCTCCATGAAATGCAGCTTGCTCAATAATACCATCCCTTAACTGCTCATTAATTATTTCTTTATAACAAAAATACAGATGCGGATCAAGCCTAAATTTATTATTTAAGCTTATCAAACATCTTTCTGCAACTTCATAATTACTGTTCAATGTGTTACAACCCTCCTTCCATAATAATTTAGTTTCATACCTCCCATTTTTAAAATGGTATTTCTTTCAAACATATCTATGACATCTGCATCTGATCACGAAATTTCCATTTCCCTGATTTATTCCTATAGCCTCCAAATCCCATAAATTCCGAATTCTTTCAAATTCTCCTTGTTCCTTCACAGAGATATGGTTTACACAAGTCTTATCATACTCATAATTGCCATGAATATCCGATCCCATTTCCTTACCTTGGATTACAAACCCAAACAAACTGTCTGTAATAACTAATCGTTTCCCTAATCTTATGTTTCTTTCATATAAGATTTCCCATATGTAATCTGAGCTGATCAACATGTGTATCTCCTTCGTATTTCCAATGTCGCCCAATTCTAGTCCCTTATTTAGAGCCATGTTTCTAACCCACTTTGATGGAACTTCTATGTGGTCATGCGTAATCGTATCAATTACCACTGCTTCTGTGCTGAATTTTTTACTTGGGTTGATTCTATTCCGCAAATCCAGCTGAACTATATTATACTGCTGTTTAGGTTTACGCTCACTACCAAACCCATATATTTCAAACGTTTCACATCTGGTAGCCTTCAATCCTAATGAGTCCACAGTTTTTCTTCTTATAAACGTTCTATTACTCCCGCCGTCTATTAACACCCTCAAGATTTCGCTCTTTTTATTTGTTTTTACTATAGTGCTGAATGATTGTAATAAAACAATGTACGACGCTCCTGCGCTCTTGGTTTTGCTTACAGATACTCTTTTTTTCCCTCCGAAGCAATGCAATGACTGTACCATAGATAAATTTTTGTTTGTTTCTTTACCATTTGATTTGGCTGCATTATTTGGCGGTTTAACCTTATTGCATATTAAACAATTGTGAGGATTTTTAGGTATTTTGCAGTGGTCCTTTTTCCAGCCAAATTTTAATGTATGTCTACATTTCAGACAAATGTAACATCACCCCTGTGTTTTTAATGAATTTCTTTTTTCTGTTAATGGTTAAGGACATTTATGTGTTTTGTGAGATTTATCTGAACAGAAAACTACATATTTCATTCGCTACAGCTGTTAAAGAGCTGCTGTTGGAATGCGCACTTTTGAAATGTTTCGTTTTGGGTCTACGTAATTTTTCTGATAATTTTAAGTCATTCCTGTATTACTAAAAGGAATTTCATTTTGCTTAAAGTTTTTTAATCTGGTAATAAAGAAGACACTTCCCTTATTTCTACCTCCTTTCTCAAAAACTTAACTAAGTGCTCTATATCAAATGATTCACGCGATTCGCATTGTCTATTGTAATACAAATTTAGCTCTTCTGGAATTTTCTATAGTATTACCAGGCAAAGTAAATTACTATAAGTGCTTGCTGCAACACCTAAAGACTGTAATGATTGAATTTGAATCTCAATCGTATCATATATTCTTCGCAATGCTGAAACATTCACGCATGTCATAACGGAATCAATCAACAACATTTTATTTATGTGCGATCTTATAATCAAATCTAGCCTTCCGAATCTTTCTATTAACAATTGAATTGAGGAATTGTAATTTTTTTTTGTTAACGAAAATCCCAAAATTGCTGATAAGGCAGTACCTTCTAAAAATGTTTTCAGATATGAAAACTTCTCAACCTTACTTAAGGAATTGTTATTATGAATAGCTACTTCGTAGGAATTCTAGAAATCCAACCAAGCACTACAATCACCATAAAACTTCTCAATACTTGATTTCGGAAGCTTAACTACACTAATTTTGTTTCTTACTTCACATTGTTCCAACCTAACATTTTCATTAACTCGAATTTCATTTTGCGAAGCCCCTTTAAAAGCCCTTTCTATATGCATATCTAGTTTCATTTTCCATTGAATACCGCTTTCCTGATATTCTTCACTCGCAGCAATTTCGTTTTCTAACTCATCTATATCGATTATCCCTTCTATTTCACTATCTAAACCCTAAAGATTCTTTATCTTTTCAATGAGCTGGTTTCATTGATGATAAAGATCATCAAGTTTTTATTCTTTACTGTAAATTACCAGGGCTCGTACGATCCTTAAGAGTCCTTAAGTTTTTAGGGATCGATTTTTGATCCTTAAAAGTCCTTAATTTCGGCCAAAATCGGCAGAAGGTCCTTAATTTTAATCATCTGAAATTTCTGTCTGTTTTTTCGATTGCCATTTTGAGTGTGAATTAGCATTTTGGA